AAAAATTATTTGGACCATGAACAAAGCTATGATATCAAACTGTATTAACACAATTTTTGTATTCAAAGAAACAAATGTTGTTTCATACCCCCTTTTAACTCATTCTCATCCGGTCGAAAAGTAGCAATTTCGAGTGGTGTTGTTTAACACATATATCTTTCCAACTATACATCGTACGGAAACAGAAATTGCACCATTTGAAAGAGGACTTCCGCTTTCCAACTATACCAATTTCATCCGGAGCTTGGTTAACGATTCACTTGCATAAATTTGCATAAATTATGATATAAAAAATGTTGCAATTATGCATAAATGTATCTACCAGTTCAAATTTCAAATAGTCAAAAATGCTATGAATGTAACTGAAAGACACGGTTGTGATCTACAAGTACCTGAAGTTTCATGCATGTAGCATAAATGGAAGTATTTTTATTGAATTTTTGAATAAACTATGTAGTTGAGTAAAATTTACATTTTGTGCTCACATGAATCAAATACCCTTATCAAAGGTCCTTTTTCATTGCTGCAACATATTATCAATACAAATTTCCAATATTTCTTACACTCCAAGGATAGTATGGCACCAAAATAAGTCTGTGATACCCACAAAAGAACACTCAAATCACTATTTGCAAAATGTCTTGATTTCTATGGTTTCTATATACATTCTTAGATAATCAGTACACCATTGACTTAGTTATCAGTGGCATAACCAGCCTGAAAATTTGGTCATGCTATTCAAATTTTAAATAATCACTACTCATTTCTTTAGAAATTGATTGTTTTCACAATCTAGAACATGAAAATATTTGCATATAGCATGACCAAGTGTTGTTGGGCTGGCATCATCATTAGTAGTTATAAAAAGTAATGTTTTCCAAGGCAGTAATGTTTGCCAAGGCACATAATTGGATTATGTGGTGAAAATATTTCCTTTTTTGCACAAAATATATATTGGACCACAAAAGACCTAAGACCACGTCATACAGGGGCGGATCTAGGATTTTTCGTACCTCAGTCAATTTTTTGGTGGACAGGGCGTTATCGGCGCTGGGCATGGTCTAGACTGGGCGTGGTCGACTCCAGGCGGGGGTAACGTATTTCGATTAAATTAATAAACTCAAACGAACATTTGATGTTAAGTCAAAGATGTTAAGTCAAATATTAATAAACTAAACCCTTACTATTAATAAAGTCTTACTGTGGTCTATATATATTGAACACAAAATATACTATTAATAAACTAGTAACATCAGAATGGCTACCATTTACGGCTGTACACAGGCTAAATGGCTACCAGTTAATGAGCTTTTCAAGCTACCTACAAATATATTTCACATCATCATGTTACATCAGACCAATGTAGTCTAACAAGCCATTGTCGATAGGCTATGGATAAACCAATACACGTTAACACGTACATGTTGTGTGATATAAATAAAACTTCACTAACATGAGAATCAACAAATGCTTACAATGTAGACATTGAATATTAACATATTTTAGCTTCTTGATGCAAGAATTATGCTAATACAGCAATGCATGCAGCATAGCGAATATATTAAAATATCATATGTCAGACAATCATTATAACAACACCGATGGCTTCGTACTCTGGTTAATGAACCTTTAATATGAACTAAAGATGCATCACTATAAAACCATCAATTTATCTACCTTATTGCAGTGCAAGCTTTGTCTTTCTCTAGCAGTAGCTCTCTGCGCCAAAATTTCTAGCGAGGCTTCTGCTTGTGTTGTTGATGGCACCACTCAGTAGCTTGTAAACAAAATTTGTCCGTGAGGCATTGATATTCTTTTCAAGCTCCATACACAAACGTTGTATAGAGATTCAAAATCGTTTGCCGCAAATGAAAATGTTTCCAGATATCGCTGGTAGAAATCGCTCGTAATAGTAAACATTCGAAATAGTAAACACTCAGAGGTAAACACTATTGCCGTGTTGACGAATAGGTCACACTGCAAATCCATCGAAAATATAAGCCAATGACAGTGCAGAATTTTTTTAAATGTTTCAATCAGAATGCTCATACAGAGCCCCTGAATCTGCAAATCTGTCAGGCCTCCCCACAGATCCGTCGCAAATGGCCGTAGCCATGGAAATGAGCATGTCAGCCAATCAGATAGCCAGATGTAACCCCCGAATCCGTCAACTTTCATGCGTAAGACTGCTGTTCGTGACTGACTAACATTACTTTGCTGAAGCACTGCCGCAGCATGAAATGTATAACTGGACTACCGGTACGATTCAAAATTTTAGTAACTCAATCTACTGGTCACTATAGATAGCTGGAGTCAAATTTTTGTATGTAGGCAATTTTTACTTCAGTCACGCGACTGATTTGACAACCCCTAGATCCGCCCCTGATGTCATACCCAAATCCATGCTGCGATGAATCTCTGGACTTCTTCCTGTATAAATCTCGAAGTCACAATATAACCATTAGGACTGTCTGCAGCAACCCACAGATTTATCCCCCACATAATAGGCCATCTTTCATGAACTGCCTAATCCCCAGCCTATTCCTTGATTTGACAGTGTGTTCTTCAACAACAATTTTCTGTGATGGCTGGTACAATTGTTGATGCAGTTTATTGCTGTAGTCATCAGTGACAGAATCTACCATATTCAGAAACTTTGTTTTACAGCAATTTTTGCCTAAACCGAAAAATTATTCCTGTTGCCCACAGATCATAATATGTAATGTAATGACTGATGTTCAAGGATTGTCTGTTTTGTGTGTTTAGTATACCTTGTAAATTGTTTCCGTATAACTATTGGGGCCGCTGTAATTGGTGATAGCTGTTGTGGTTTCCCACCCAATGAATGTATAAGTATGATGGCAAAGTAAATAAATAAAGCATGCATACAGTACTTTAAGTAGCAAGCATAGAAAAGTGTTTTATTCTATACGCTACAATAGAATACACAATGTGCATATCTTGTTTGCGTTTGGGACCTGGAAACAAGTCCCATCAAAACGAGGCCGATAGGTCTGATGCCATATTGTATTATTTGAGGCATTATGCATAGCATGTATAATCGGTTGTAAACTGGCTCAGTGTTATTTGTTAGCAAATAACAAATAATATATGGTAACTTTGTAAAATGGTGTAGTGTAATTGAGTGACCATGTCACTCACTTTTATTTTTCTTGTTATAGAAAATGTATTGAAAATGACTGTGCTGCCTTTCATTTCAATGGGTCAAAGAGTACACCGGTGTCCTCAACAAATTTTATAGAAGCAGAAGCTGATCCTCTTGCCAAGCAGAAAGACACAAATAGTATCTACACAAGGCAGACCCTTATTGTTTTATACAAGAAACTGCATGAGATCTTTTGTGCAGACAAAACTTTGCATACAGTTGATGCGTGTTGATCCACTATTTATGGCGTTCTGTTTCAAATGGCATTTCTTTCCATCAAGTTCAAGCAGATTACCTCCAATTACAGCTAGAGGTATGTATGCTACGTAAAGAGCAATTTTTTGGCATAAGAACTTCTGGGAGAAGACGAGATTAACAAAGTGTCTACACCCGTAATGCAACAGAAATGGAGGAGGAACCATGGAACATTTTCAGAGATATGTTAATTAACATTTGTCCGAGTGACGATTTGTTGTGTGACATCTTTTTAAAGGGTTTCAATGAGAGAAAGAGTTTGTATGAAGAGGCTATGAAATCTATCTCGGCCAAAATTTGATGTCAGACATGTGTTCTACATTTATTTAACTTAATTTAAGGATTTTGCACACATTACTATGTAGGGGTGGATGAAAAGTAAAAAAGGTAAATAAACTGTTGGGGAAAATAGCAATAGTCAGTTTTTAAACTTTTTATATAGGTGGCTGTGAACATTTGGGTAAAACAGGTCATTGTTTGTGGTACTAAACTGAGAGCATCAAGTTGTCACCTGGAAGTTAATGAAAAAGAACAATTTGACGTAATAAAAACCCTCTTAGAAGATCTGAAAGGCAGGAATTGCTTTCCAGAGAATGGTCTCAAATATTTTATCATAGATAACTGCTGTACATGGTGCAAGAAATTGCAAGAAACATTTAGAAAAAATACGAAAGTGTTACTGGACTTGTTTCATGCAACCCAGAGATTAAGAAGAACAATTGTGAAGACACATCCATTCCAATGCAGCTGCATATGTGACTGTTCCTGAGTTTTTCGTAGGAGTGACAACCAATCAAATGAACGAAAAATGGAAACAGCCCCAAAGGAAAATATTCTTAAAAACGTGGATAAATTCAGCAGAAAATGGAAGCATATATCTGAAACGTCCACTGAAGGGCCTTTATTGTGCAATTCGTTCGATGAGCAAGTGAAAAACTTACATAAACATGTTGCTTTTGGATGTCTTTCCGGCATACCGCAGAGTTATTCCACAAGCATAAATGAAAGCCTACACCAAAAAATTAACGACCTTAACGCTGGTGCTAAAATGGGCCCTAAACTTGCTTTCACACTTTTGACTGTTTTTTCATGCTTGAAATTTTCATTGAAGAAACACAATAAAAGGAGTGTCGATTATCCAGCCACTTTCACCGCAAACTACGACAAACTGAATCACTCGGGCATCAAAAAGAACGCTTTGGTATAGGTGGTAAAATGCCAAACAACACTACAAGTTCAAACGACCATGATTCTTCCTACTCATTAAAGCAGTCAAGTGCTTTTGAACATGCTATGTCCATGTTACAATTTCGAAATATTCTAAAGCACTTAAGTAATGATGGTAGTGGACTTTGTGCTGATGATCTATTTTTTCATAAAATATTGAAGTATATTTTTAATGGAGAACATAAAATAGCAAATGAGGTATCGGACAAAAGTCAGTTGGAGGGTACTGCAGCGCAATTTCAAGTGGAAATAGTCCCTATAGCTTCAGATGGTAACTGCTTTCTTACTGCCATTGCATTTTCAATCATTCAGCGGATTGTATGAGAATTTGGGAATTCAAGCGTGCAATACAATGGAAGAAGTTTCAGAAACACTCAGACAACTGACAACAGATGAGTTAAAAAGAAACAAAGCGAAATATTTGCCATATTTACACAACGTCCGGGAAAACCATTACGATGATCTTGTGAAAGATTTTCAACAACCTGGTGTATTTGCTGGAGATATGGGAGATGTAATTGTTAAATCTATGGCTAACATATTAAAGACACCTCTCATTACACTTACGAACATTTCCAACTATGAAGTGATAACAGTTACACCCGATGAATTTCATAACTGAAATGATGGCATGTTTTTAACATATACATGTGATGGACCAGGACACTGTGACGCCCTAGTGCACAGAGATTACGGACGGACAGACAAACCAGAAAGTACCTCTGGTAACCTCGAAGACAGCATAAAATGTACTTGTGGCATGTCTCGAAAGCAAAATAAACCTTCCTGTACTGATAAAATGACTGATAGCCGGTGAACGTATCCTTCACGTTGGGGGGAATTCTAGACGTCTCAAAAAATTTTTGCACAAGATTGTCTCTATCCACGTTTTAAAGTAAATTGTATGTGTGATGATTGTCGTGAGAAAATATGACCATATGACCTTTTCCTGGCTGTCTAGCTTTATGATGATCACAAACAACAAGATTAGATTATTACGTCAATGATGTCACTGTGACGTCATCATAATGTAATAAAAATTATGATCTGTGCAATTATTTTTAGAAAAAATTACATTTTTATGCATTTGAGAGAAATTTTATGATTTATTAACAAAACCTGTGCACATGTTCAAAAATATTACCTGACTTGAACATTATATCAATAAGATTTGTAATCTAATTTTTGGCACACCTAACGAAATTTAATATCACGAAACAAGGAAACGTTTGTACAGAATAAAACTAAGGGAGATGAAGTCAAAGAAGCAAGTTCCGAAGGAGACATCTATTTACATGAGACTTTTGTATCATGACAAGGGTGTTAGGGGAAATGAGCTTCTCAAAGCATTTCCGAACTACAGTAAAGCGACGAGAACCATGTGTTCGACAAACGTAAAATGAACAAGGGACGTCCAAGAAGATTAACTGTTCGCAACGAATGCAACCTTGTGAGGCAGTTGCACATACGTAGAGAAAGAATGGGCTCATTTGGAGCATCCACACTTCGAACTGCGGCTGACATCAGTCCTGACGTGTCCCTATGGACAATTCGAATATTTACAATCTCGCAAAAAGGGACTTATGACAAGGAGGGACTTATCACGCAGATATAGCTTTGCCTGTAAGATACGAAGGATGCTTCCGGACAACTTCTGGGAAAAAGGCATCAGCCTTCTACCTTGATGGAACCTCATTTGTGCACAAAACAAATCCCCTTGATCAGGCACGAGCCACAAAATCAATGGCCTGGAGAAAGTGTGGAGAGGGCCTTGCCCTAAATTGCACAAGCAAAGGGAAAAAGGCTGGTGTGTAAGGGAAAACAGCTCATTGCTTTGTTTCTATTGCCTATGGGAAAGGTGTGATATCCTGCGATCAATATTTCAAATGTTTGACTGGGAAGACCTTTGCCAAGTATGTGCGCCTTCATTTCCCATGCATATTTGAAAAGAGTGCAAATCCGACAGCCAAACGTTTTGTACAAGATGGTGACCCATGTCAAAACAGCACGGTCACAAGACGAGCTTTCAAACAGGTGGGAGCTTTTAAGTTTTCTATATTTAAACCCAATTGAAAATTTGTTCTACTTGGTTTCAAAACAACTAGAGAAGGATGCTGTTGATAGGCAGATGACACATGAAACCTTTGCCCAGTTTTCAGACAGAGTGAAAAGGACAATGCTGAACTTTCCTAAAGACATTATTGACAAAATAATTAAATCAATGAACAAACATGTTGCAATGATCATTAAGGAAAGGGGGAAAAGATTGAAGTATTGAATAATTTCATTAACAACTTTTCATGTGTAGTGTACATTCTCATAAATATATATATTCTATCTATAGCATATATTCTTGTAAATATTATGATCCTTCTAAACTAATGTAATTCTGTCTTCGATTGTTAATTAATAGTTACTTAAATCTTATTAATAGTAATATATGCTTTCTTAATGGCAGGGGTGGAAAAAGTATCGGAACCTGGGAACCTAGTTCCCAGAAATTTTTTTGAGTTGAGAGTTTTGCAGAAAATTTTCCAGAAAATATTTCAACATTTTGAGATAACCCTGTTTACTCAACTTGCAAGTTACAACTATTCTACTGTATTTACACTGTACACGGTAACATCAGCAGCTTTTAAATATTTGACAGAAATTAATTCTTTTACCCACCACCCCTGTCATCACAATTACTGGTAAAATGGTAAATATATGCTCTGCAAAGTCTCCAATAAAATGCAAATTAAATAGTAAACAAATAAAAGTGATGGAATAAATAAGATGATAGGACACTTAGTTAAGTGTTAGATCCTTACTATGATGTTTGTGATGTAATTCTGAGTGTGCATCCACACCGGGCAAGCTTGAAAAATATGCCTGGCCACGGTGGGAATCGAACCTACGACCTTTGGAATACTAGCCCAATGCTCTGCCAGCTGAGCTACACTGTCAGGTCGGTTTGAGTATGTGATATTTCGGAACTGAGTTTAGTTCCTTCGACATCAATGTAATCTAGTATTCCAGAGGTCGTATAAGTTTGATTCCCACCATGGCCAGGCATATTTTTCATGTTTGCCTGGTGTGGATTTACACTCAGAGTAACATCACAAACATCATATTCACCTTATTATATAACACCAACACAGGAAAAATCAAGATCCTTACTAATTGGTCATAACTCATAACTGTGGTATATAACAGACAACTATTGTGATGTACAAGCGTACGAAAACCAGCCTAAAGCCCATTATTACTAAAGTACAAATAATACAATAATTATGCATTTGTTTTGTTATTTTTGTAATTGTAACATTACAAATTTTACAGAAAATTTCTAGCCTTTGACCCAGGTTCCCAGAAAGAAAATTTATTTTTCCACCCCTGCTTAATGGCATGTTTGTTTTAAGTACAACGAACAAAATATCAATTTTTTAATTTTTACAAACACTAGACATAGTAGTCCCAAGGGGGCTAATGCACATAACTCTACATGTTACATCATGTTACCATTTCTCCTATTCATTTCTATACACAATGAACATGTTACCACATGTTACCATCTATTTTATAAAAATATGTATACTATTTTATAGAAAATAGTGGTAACGTGTTCCATATATGTAGAAATCAATAGTAGAAAAATGGTAACATGATGGTAACATGTACGAAATCTATGAAAAATTGATGTAATCACGCATGTTAGTAATGTTAACAGTTTTTAAACTTTTTGGGAGGTATTTTAAGACTTGTGTTGTATTATCAACCTTATTGTCATGTTCCAATTGTGTTCAAATAAGTTCGCCCAATAGAAAGAGAGATGCAAAACAACATGGACACTGAGAAATAATCTTCTGTTCATCCTCAGATATACTGTGATTGAAGTGAAACACTTTCCACCGGGAAGCCATCATATCATTCTCGACTGAATCTTCTGTGTTGTATGGACCTCTGTACTTAAGAGGCTGTCTCCGTAAAAACCTCCAGGTCAATATGGGGCTCAAAAATAGATTTCTCTCATACTCTAGTATTTTGAAGATCTATCCTTGGGAACAACTAAAATCGATTTCATTTTACTCAAATTTCCTTTCAATTATTTTTGGGGGCGATTGATGTTCGATCGGCTGGTAACCAACTTGAACTCCGAATGAAGGCAAAATATCGATATATTTTCAGCGCTATTTTTTACATCAAATTCATACCTAAATTTCAAACTTTTTGCTCAGAAATATAGACTTATCCTTCTATTTTCGTTGGTGATATGACTTAGATAATTATTCTTTGGTATAAAATAGAAAACAGCGCAGTTATTGACCCTCCTGAACGGATAAAGGATATCGTCTCAAAATATATCGACTTTGAAAGCTTATTTCAAAATCGTGGCACTTGATTGGCACATGACTTTAACTTTTTTATAAACTACTAACATTAGTCAACAGAAATCGCCAATAATATCTTTCTGCTTTACCATTTGACAAAAATAACAAGCGCACAAACTTTGTAAAATTTGAAAATGTGTCGAAATCGAGCATGCTTTATCGGTAAACCTAATTGTTGATATTAACAAATAAAACCACCTTACACTACACTGAATGAAGCCTGATTATGTAAATATATGTCTTTCATCATTATTCTTTGGTTTTGCACTCGAAAAAAATGTTTGAGTACAGTTTGGCTTCAAGGATAGTCATTAAATGCCAGTGTGTTCGAATTCTGCGCGCCTCAATGCCATGAGTCCTGATTGTGACATACGAATTTCGCTCTGTTCGCTTTGTTTACCTCCTGTAAATAAAATGTCTCAAAGAAATTACAAAATTCAGAGTTAGGCATACTACAGACATAATTTTCATTGTTTTTTTTTACCTTAAACTGTTATATAAATTAAGTTTCGTTTTATAGAATGTACGAATTAATCTCGGGGAAAACCCCTGGCCGAAAGAAATGTACTCGCTGAGCGTAAACATGTCAATCAAAGCATATAGTTAATATCAAAGACGATGAAATGTTTCGTTGCTCTGTGATTTCCCTTTCTTTGTATTGCATTAAATAGTAGTCTTAGACAGTATTGCACGAGGTTTTTGTGTTTAAAATATTGTTCTTTTCTGTTCTAATTCGCGATTACATATGGTGTTCACTACTACTACAGCCGCAATTTGGGGTCACGCAACGTTAGGTAAACGTAAATGATTTCGACAGACAGTTGATTTTATGTTGACAGATGAGAATGACGGTAAGCAATAATGTAGAAATGTTCCTTTTCTACTTCTGAGTGTGGAAAATTCCGAGACACAGTAGACTGTTCTTCGAAGTTGCTGGCGTGTAAGAATGACATTAGTTATCACTTGCAAATTTGTCACCTTTTAAAGCTGTCGGAAAGAAGAATATAAATTAATTCTAATTTTCAGAACCTTTCTAATTGTTACCGAAAAAAGGAATAACATTGATTAAATAACTGAGACATTCAAATGGGTTACAGCTGTTTGCGCTGAATTGTTTTGTATTATATCAAAATATTCGCATATTTTTGTACAATAAGAAATAATATAAATTCTTGAAACTTTATAGCCTTTAGCAAAATGACCCAGGGTCGGCCTGAAAAAGTTGATTTTTTTATACAGAACCGTGACTTATTTGAATTCTAGTTTCCATTGATAATTGTTTCTAAACCTACAGTTGCTAGAAAACTATCCTGAGTGAAACTAACAAAATATTGACATTTGAACATTTGACATCACAGCGAGTATACATTTCTTTCGGCCAGGGGCTTTCCTCGAGATTTAATTTTATAAAACAGTTAAAAAAAACGATGAAAATTCTGTCTGTAGTATGACTAATTCTGAGTTTTCCAATTTCATTGAACATTATTAATGTTAAACATGCAGGTAAAGGTATTTGTTAAAGAGGTATAAACAAAGCGAACAGAGCACAGTTTGTATAGTATGTCACAATCAGGACTCGTGACATTGAGGCGCGCAGAAGACGCTGGACACACTGGCATTGAATGACTCTATATCCATGAAGCCAAACTGTACTCAAACAATTTGATTCAAGTGTCAAACCAAAGAATAATGGCGAAAGACACATATTTACATAATCAAGCTTCATTCAGTGTAGTGTAAGGTGATTTTATCTGTTAATATCAATAATTAGGTTTACTGATAAAGTATGGTCGATTTCGACACATTTTCAAATTTTACAAAGTTTGCGCGCTTGTCATTTTTGTCAAATGGTAAAGCAGACAGATATTATTGGCCATTTGTGTTGACTAATGTTAGTAGATTATAGAAAAGTTAAAGTCATGTGCCAATCAAGTGCCACGATTTTGAAATAAGCTTTCAAAGTTGATATATTTTGAGACGATATCTGTTATCCGTTCAGGAGGGTCATTAACTGCGCTGTTTTCTACTTTATACCAAAGAATAATTATCTAAGACATACTAACAACGAAAATAGAAGGATAGGTCTATATTTCTGAGCAAAAATATTGAAATTTAGGTATGAATTTGATGTAAAAAATAGCGCTGAAAATATGTCGATATTTTGCCTTCATTCGGAGTTCAAGTTGGTTACCAGCCGATCGAACTTCAATCGCCCCCCAAAATAATTTAAAGGAAATTTGAGTAAAATGAAGTTGACTTTAGTTGTTCCCAAGGATAGATCTTCAAAATACTAGAGTACGAGAGAAATCTATTTTTAAGCCCCATATTGACCTGGAGGTTTTTACGGAGACAGCCTCTTAATGATCTCTTTAGAAGTGACGAATACCGGCATGTCACTATCAATACGCACGTCTTTGGCGAAGTGATTCTTCAGAGCGGGAAGATTCACTCGATCTCCTTCAAGTAACAGCAGAAAGGTTTTTCAATCAATCAGCTGTCTTGACCATCTAAAGTTGTTGAGCCAAATAACTTTGGCGTTATCAGCTCCCACCCATGCATATTTGTAGATGCTGGGTTACTGAACGTGTTGAACAACAGCTCCAAAGGCCTTAATAAAAACATCTCCCCACCATTTTGTACAAGAATAATATTACAATACGAAGAATTCAAATTAACCACATGTAAACAAACTTCAAGATGGTATTTTTGCTAATTAAAACGTCAGACTCGTATAATAGTAATTAATCATTTTTTAATGCCATTCATAGCTTTTTGACAAAATCTATTGAATGTAGATCGCCTTATTATACCCTAGAGGGCACAGACAATCAGGAGCAAAAATAATGAGACATTATGTGTTTTGAACATTTTTTCTATCTTGACATATCTATACCCGTATACTTCAATTTTCCATTGACTATTTACCCCTCCCCCCATTGACAATGTTGAGTAAAACTTTTCAGCGAACCATATGTGCTGGTATCGTGACAACAACATTGTTTTTCGGGGAGAAATCTAGAAGTCTCAAAAATTTTTGCACAAAATTGTAGTCAATTCTAGTCCAAGAAAATTATAAGGAAATTCGAATCTGAAGGAAATTTGAAGGACATTTTGGAAGATTGAAAGAAATATTGAAGGAAATGTGAAGGAAACGGCTTAATATTTCTAAAAAATCCTAAAAATACGGCATTTTCCAAGGAAATGCACTTCAAAATATGCTGAAAATTCTGTTGTGCGAGATGCAAAATCTGAAAATTTTCTGGGGGAGACCCCCCATGCTTATTCTCCTTCGTGTTAATCTAGGTAAACTGTTTGTCTTTCCCCTTTGATAATTAAGCACCTGCGACGTCCAGGTTCCTTCTAGAACAAGAAATAGACCGTTATTTGAGATAAATTACTATGGGAATATTTAAAAAAAAGTCGTCATATTTAGATTTAAAAGAAAGAAAAAGGTCATCAGTTTTAGATTAGCGTGAGATTAAGATTAGGGGGTTGGGTGGGGGTTAGGGTTCAAATTAAGGCAATGTCTTAATTTGAACGATTTTTACAATTAAGACAACCTTAATTTTGTGAAAAGATCAAGCTGATTATTCTTGGGTTTTATATGACAACACAAAAGTGATGGGAGGGGGAGGGGTCAACTCTAATACAAAATACAGGTAACAGAGTGAGTTGATTGTTCATTTTATGTATTAGCCTTATGTTTGGTGGTAAATACATAGAATTTCATATCAATTTTTCACTCCAGTATGGCATAAGCATCAATACATTTGAAGTTGACGACCGTCAGATTCATTGCAAAACGCCATAGTGAAAGCCAAGAATAGAAGAATGCTGCTATACTGAGTGAAGAATTGCACATGCATTAATGAACATACACAAGGGTCTACACAAATTGTTGTAATAAGCCCATGGCGATAAAACAATTTTATCACAAAAGTTCAAACATAAAAAATAAATAAATCTCTAGGTGCTTGGTTGAGGCAGTACATTTATATTTTATAACAAAATACAAAAATATATTAATGTGGAAGTTCAAATACCATCGGGCTGTGATGAGTATCAAGGAATTTATTTTATATAGCCTAATGAATGCTGTTTTGGAAATGAAATTAGTGCTGAACTGATTTGGCATTCTTTGAAATTGATTGACTTGTTTTGAAGCTTTTTAAATACAGTATTCATTTGTTAATTCAGGAATAAAAGACCAACCTTTTGAATGCGATGTTTGTAATAGTAAAAGATTTTCAACTGGAAGTTCTTTTAGTCAGGCATAAAAGAACACACACAACCTCGTTCCCAGGGTCTCTCCTTCTGTCATCTGGGAGAGACCCTGGCTGCAGCTGGTCACATGTCTCCCAGATGCTGTGAGGTAAATTTAATTGTAACTCTGAGAGGGGTGAGAAAGGAGCGTGTTTGTAGCGTTTTAAAATTGCAACTTTGGATGAATAAATTTACTGTAAATTTGCAACAAGAAACCGTAAATAGAACTCTTAATATTTATATCGTGACATTCTACTCTATAATCTGGTGTCAAGTTACAATTCAAGCAAGTTGGATCAGATTTCAATATTCAACTCATAGACTTGCCAAAGAAAGCACACTTGCCACTTGTGCAGTGTGGCAATATTATTTTAAACTTACAAGAAAATCTGTATACCTCTGTTATTTATTTAGTATTAATGTCTATCCTGATACTTAGACCAAAAGAATTTATTTATTGATGAGATGTGGAATTGCAACGAAATAGCGAGATGTTTTGATTTAATAATAATAATAATAATAATGATTTATTGGTAATATATCCACAGAGTGGCTCTTCACTTACCAAATTATATAAATTATAAAGTATTCATAAAGTCTATAAACTATTTTACGAACATTACTGCAATATAACTTTGAATATATAACGTGTTCGACAGGACAAAATATTACTTACAAAATTACGAAATTAACTAAGTTAGAACAAAACTTTACGAAACTATATACATTTAAATATTTCTTACTAAGATTATCCAAGTCTTGACCATGCTTTCAAGACTAAGAAATTTTTGGTCTCATTGTAGAATACCCTGTAGTCTCTGCAGTTCCTAATTTCTTCTGGTAATTGGTTAAAAAGAAGTGCTGATTGGTCCTGTAATGTGTTCTTAATTAAAGGGACTTGAAGCTGAGAGCCTTTGCTTGATCTCAGAACTCGAAGAATGTTGAACCAATTGTAGCTTTTGGTAACTTGACCAATTTTCATCGTAAAGCGCTTTGTAACTTAATTTTAGAACGTTCCATTCACGTTGTTCCTTGATAGGCAACCAGTTTAACGATAATACGTCCGCTGGTCTAGCGAATTTACCTAACACGAAACTAGCTGCTGCTTTCTGTACCCTTTGTAGGCGTTTCTGTAAGTACTCTGGCAGTGAATGGTAAATTACGTCGTTATAGTATAGTTTAGATAAGACAAGAGCCTGTACTAAGTTCTTACAGATTTTGAATGGTAAACTGTTTTTTAGTTTCTGAGCGTGGCAAGGGTGGAGTAACAGGATGAGGCGATGTTTTTAACATTCTCTTCCCATTTAAGGTGTTCGTGAATGTAAGACCCTAGTAACTTTGTAGATTTAACTCGCTCTACGTGTGTGCCATTGATTTCGATATTGATGGAGGCATCATTCAGAGAATGGGAGGAAGCCAGTTGTGCAGTGGACAGCATCATGACTGTTTTCTTTGATGGATTGATGACCAGGTTGGCTTCACTCGACCATTCTTCCAACTTGCGAACACTTGACTGTATATCAGCTACCGCATCTTGGAGACTCTCGGGTTTGCAATGAGTGTAAAGGGTTGTGTCGTCGGCGTATTGATGACATTTGTCTTTGATGTACGATTGAAGGTCAGCAACATATAGATTAGAGATTAATGGCCCTAATATAGACCCCTGGGGAACGCCGAAGTTGACTGGACACAAGCCGGATGTTTTGTCGTCAATTTGGACGAAATGCCGTCTTCCAGTTAGGTAATTCACCGACCATTTAAGATATTCATTTGAGAAACCTAATTGATTGAGTTTCGTTAACACAGTTTTGTATTTAATGGTGTCAAAGGCTTTCGAAAAGTCAGCTAGGACCATGAGTGTAACTTCCCCACGCTTCATTGCATGAAGTATGTCGTTTCTAATATCTAGCAGAACTGTGGTAGTTGAATGACCTTTCCTAAAGCCGGATATGTTTTCTTTCAACAGCTTTTGGGAGTCAATGTGCTCAACCAATTGATAGTGTGTAAGCCTTTCAAATACCTTCAAAAGAACTGGCAGTATTGATATGGGACGCATATTACTGTTCAAATTAAAGTTATTACTCTTAGGTATTGGAGTGATCCTAGCGACTTTCCAAGCATCAGGAAATGACGATACAGCTACAAAGGAGTTGATGATGTGAGTTAGTGGACCAGCGATGAGCTGCGCAACAATCTTGAGATACTTTGCAGGTAGTTGGTCTGGCCCGGTAGATGTATCGGATCTGATGCCTTTGGTTTCACGCAGAACCTCATTCAACGTAACTGGTCGTAAAGGAAATGCTGCATCATCACTAACGTTTGGTTGTAGTGTATCAACAAAACTGAGCAGGTCTTCTTTGACGTCGGTTTCAGTATTTCCTGTCGTGCGCTGGGCTGTAGTTGCGAAGAATTTGTTTAAATCGTCAACGTCAACTCTCAGAGGTTGTGGTGATGGATTTAGGACGCGATGTATAACACGCCAGATTTCTTTCGATTTGGAGCTTGAAAAAGCCTTGTTGACAAACGACTTCTTTGCTTCTTTGATTTTCGTCTTCAACCGGTTGCGTACATCACGGAAAGCTTGCCAGACATCAGTTGTGTTGAGTGTGTGGGCTTCGTGGCGCAACGAATCTCTTTGTTTTTGAAGATCTCGGATGTTATCATCATGTAACCATGGCACAGGAGGGCGGGTGATCTTCGTACGTTTCAGAGGAGCGTGACGCTCAATACAGTCGCCAACGAGTTTGTTAAATATGTCCAGTTTCTCATCAGGATCTTCGATTGCATAGATGATGTTAAATGGGAGTGATCAAAGTCCTGAATGTATTCACTCTTCTTAAAATTACGTTCGCTTCGAATGTACTTAAAACGCGGTTGGAAACGTTCTATACGAATGTTTATGCAGGCATAAGGTGCATCATGATCACTGACACTTGAGCACGGTAGTACATCCGTGAGTGTAATACACTTGGAGTTGTTCGATATGATGTGATCAATGAGAGTTGTACTGGTCTGTGTGATTCTCGTAGCTTTCTTAACATGCTGTGTTAGGTCGAACGTTGATAATAAGTCCAGATATTGTTTCGTCAAAGGTGCGTCAGAATTTAGAAAGTTAATGTTAATGTCGCCTGTAAGGATCAGCAAGCCATCCCATGATGTTGTAAACATCACATGATGTTCCAACAGCATGTTCTCCATCTGTTCTAGCCATTGCTGAGTATCCAATATTCGAGTAGATCTATAAATTGTACCCAATAATAGATGACTATGTTTGTTCCGTCCTTGGATTTCCAGCCATAAATGTTCTAAATTTGGATTCGATGTCCTTGCGCCATTTATATTTCACAGTTTCTTTGATATACGCTCCAACTCCACCTCCTCTGATTTGTTCTCGATTTCTAAATTCATTGCCATACCCGGAAATGGAGACGTGATTTAGTAGTTGAGGATTGTCTTTGAGCCACGTTTCACGAGCCCCGTATGTTCGTATAACTAGCAGGAAGTCATCAAATGTTGAAGTCATGCTTTGCGTATTTAAATGCATAAAGGAGAGTTGGGTTTGTCTCGATGCGATAGCGTTCAAATGATGATCTGTGTCAGACGTAACGTTTATATGTTCCTGTGATTAATCTAAACTGCTTAAATCCTTCGTAGAAAAGAACGGGAGCTCTGAAAGGGTACAGTGAGAACATGTCCATGTATCGGGTTGGTTAGTCGTAATGTTCTTATAGATTCAAAGATTGTCACTAGCACAGCGCATATGGATAAGATCGAAACATTTGTCACTGCAGTCGTTTGTGGTTTCGTCGAACCTGTTTTTCACATTTTGTACATTTAGGTGCTTTATATTTTTGAATCGTTTTAGTGAGATTGACGTTTTGGACAGTGGGTTCTGGGTGGGGGTGTACATCTCCGCATGTTAGTATGGCTGAGGTGGTCAGATTGAAAGATGCCGAGGTGTTGTTATAAAACAGGATCCTGCTTTTGATCCATTTGCGTTTTCTACCAAACGTTACAGTTCAACTTAGCGACGGTGCAGCTGGGAAATGAGGCACTTCGATATGTACAGTGGTTTCATCACATACTAAATTGGGCCAGATAATAAGCAGTAAAAGGATAAAAATTGCCACTGGATTTACCATTGTTTGTTCATGAAGGCAGAGTATGTAAACGAGTTATTAACACACACTTAAATTAGTTCAAGCACGCATGAGGGCGTGTTCGTATGCACTAGTCAGAAACACTCGTCGCAATATACAATAGACGTATTTCCGTAATTAGGGAATTCCCAAAGACTAAAAACCCGTAATATGATCTAATATTGTCTACGTCGGACAAGAAGCCGTACACTATAATGTTAGAGTTGCAGATGTTTAGTGAAATATAGTTCTAAAATAGCCAAAAATTCTATAAAAAATGTAGCGAATAACGAGCGATGCAAATCCAAAGTAGAATGGTATTTTTAGAAAAGGTAGAAACCAAGATACGACACCGTAAAGTTGTTGCCTAGGAACGTGTCGCTAATCAAAATTCAAATTTGAAATACCAACTGCCAAAATAATAAAAGTTTAATAAAACAGGAACGGTATATCCAAATGACACCAAATTTACGCACAATAGTAATAACACAGATATAGACAACGTAGTAAAACACACACCAAGTAGAACAAACGGTACCAAAGAAAATGAGCAATATCCAAAAAATCCAACTTCGTATCGAATGACACAATGATAATATACACAAATGAAATAAGACAATCCAAAATAACTTTACAACACGATACAAATCCAAAATACCACAAATAGATGAACAAAATCATAAGCTTTATTTTAATATAAAACTTAATGAAAGAGGATAGAGAATTACTTGTTTAATCTTGAAATATAGCGGAGGTCATTCGAGTGTAACCCTATCTATGAGCGATTAAGATAATATATTTCCGATATATTTTTTTTGATATTTCCGAAATATCGCCAACTGTATCCAGATTGTTGATCTATATAAAGGCCTTATCAAAAAACCGTAAAGTCTGTCAAAAGACGGTTTTTGTCCAAGACCGCGACACTGCGAAAATATATTTTTCACATCCCAAAAATTGTGACAAAAATATTTTTGTGTGATGCAAAAATATTTGTTGCACATTAGTACCCAGGCTCCAAATTTTGCAGACGTGTTTTCCCTACGTGTTTTCTTTCAAAATGGCTACTCGTTGTGAAAGAAAATGGAAAACTTGCAACTCTCCTATTGAATTGGGATATTTATTTTGTCCTATTTGTGGAAATTCGGTAGTAAGTGTTAACAGTGTCACTTCTAGCGGTTCGTCAGGAGAAACGAGTCAATCAAAAAGCAAACGATTTTCTTTAGACAGTTTCGAAAAGTTCAAGAGGCAGAAAGTCAACACAGCTCTTTCTTTGTTCGAAACAAAGGGCGCAAAAGCTCGTCAAAAGAGGAGAAATAAGTTTTTATCTACATTGGTTTGATGAAAGAAATGTGTCAAGTCAAACGAGGGGAATGGCTGCCTCTTTAAATCAAGCCAGGTGCTACAGCTAATGACATCCTGGAAGCTGCAATTCAGAAACATTCAATATTTAATAAACTATATAATTCCAAACTGAAGAACAAGTTGGTATTCAAAGATGGCAGTGAGGTGTCTAACATCCCCGGCGGTGACCCTGAAGAAAGTTTTGTATTGTTTAAGTACAAAGAGTTATCTGGTTTTTCATATGGAAAAATTAAGTTATTCCTCATTCCTGAAATTACAAGTTTTCAAAATCGCATTGATCAACTGAAAAGCTGTCTTGAAGATGCTGAAGATGATGAATTGTCATCTGAATCAGAGGAGCAAGCACTATCTCATAACTCACTGGCTTGTGAAATCAAATCTGTGAATTCTTCCAATACATTACAAACCATTGCATTACAAACCAATCCACAGAGACAGAGACAATAGAGATTCCAGATGAAGAAGCTATAGCCCAATCAGTGTTTGGGAATCCTCCAGAGAAGGATGGGGCTGCTATTAATACCAATGTTGAGTGTCCTTTTTGTCTTAACAAATTTCTTATTGCAACTGTGGAACAGCATGCTGACCAATGTGCTTCATTGTTTCAAATAATACCGGATGGTGATAATGATGATGCTGTTCAACCTTCAACTGCACCTGCATCTGATGGTACACTGAGGGATATGGTCCAGAAGCTTGCCCAGGTACAGTTTGACCCCAAAGAAGAACCTATATGGATAACTGTACGTCGTTCAAGGTTATGGAAAGATTTCAAAAGAGCAAGGTCAATATATTATTGCCCCCAAGAGAAGCTTAAGCTGGCTCCCTAGGGTTTTTTTAATTTACTACACTATAGTATTCAGGAGACTCCTGTTTCTTTACTTTACATGATATGAAGACGAAATTTATTGGACACATTGACAATGTTCTCCTGAACATTACAAATTGCAACTTTTGCGTTAAAAATCTGTTGTCATGGCAACAACACGCTTAGAATAAAGTTCAAAATTTGTCTTTTTCAGGTCATTTTAAAAATTCCCTTCGGTGAATTTTTTTAAAACTTTGCATAAAAGGTCATACTTGTATAATGATTTTTTCCCCTCAATTTAAAAAAATTAAATCGATACGTTTCAAAAACGTCAAAAATCAATATTAAAAATTTTCCCTTCGATTTAATTTTTTTAGAAAAGGATATTGCACTTGTTGTGCCGATATTAAAAAATATGCAAAGTTTTAAAAAATTTCACCGAAAGAAAACAGAGAAATTTGGGTTTAATTTTGGCAATTTTTACCAGATTTTTACGCAAACAATTTAATACCCCAACTGATGTGTACATGCAGGCATTCTGCATAAAACAACAAGACACAACTTTTTTGAAATCACAAAATATAAATTATGTTTGATATACTGTTTATAACTGTGTCGGTTAATGGTCAACTAAGTGTGGATTATACATGTAAAATTGGCAAAGATATTTAGGTAATTACTAGTTATGATTTCTTGGTATTAACTTGAAAAATGTTTGTCAAAATTCGTCCCGTGCGAGTTAGTACATACGTCGGATGTTTTCGCAAAATGCCCGTTCAAATTTCAGTTTTTATGGTGGTATGTTTGGAGTTTCGGCCCTGCTCATTTCACCAGTAGAGGGCTCATTACTATAAGTCATCTTTATTGTCATAAGTGCTGCTAGATTGTGGAGAAAACACTGCAAATTCTTGAGGAAACTTTATATCATATCCCAATGTTCGCGATCGAACCTCGCGTACGGCGGTTCAAAAAACGTCCAGAATACCGCTTGAAAAAAAAAACAAGGTTTACATTATCTTCTTTTGCAACATCACATCCAAGTATCGTTTTGGCTTTTAGAACTCTTTTTATGCTTTCAACTAAAGCAAAGTTCACACTTTTGTTTGCAAAGTTCACACAACGTTCGTTCGTATTTTGAAGTCATACGAGTTTTAGTTTACATATATACGAAGAACGTAACCCCCGGAAATAAAACCCTAGGGAGCCACCTTAAACATGACTAGGAGAGTTTTCATCCCTCTATATAGTTCTGAACTCACGGATGCTGTGTCACAGCATCGTTAGTAGGGAGTTGTTAGGAGCTTTAGATTTGACTACCAGTACGACTACGAGATTCGTTTATCTGGACACGCCATCCTACACCATCATGTACTGACGCCTTATAAATCTCGTAACCATGCCAAATTAACAACAGGATTTTTGATCTCGTAGCTAAACAAGCCTCTACTACGAGATTATGGCGTGGCTACGTGATGGCGTAAGAAGATAGCGCGCATGTGCAAACATCGTATGTCGTATTCGTAGTCAACTATATTGAACAATATTGTTGAGCCTGAATCGGGTGTAACAATATTGTTCGATGTTGTTGACAACTGTGAACAATGTGCATGGGCAGCAAAACATTGTTCACTCCTATTTAGATCAACTATTGCAACAACCTGATCGTTTTTAGCCGTGTAACACTGACCATAGACAATCCAGAAGACAGAAGAATGCCTTCTGGATTGTCTATGTACTGACTTGTACCCAGTCCCTGAATGAGGATTGAAAAAATATGTGTACTCCTGGGGCCAGTTGTCCAAAGCACGTTGACCGTGAGTTAAAGTTTAAGCCATTGCTTTGGTTTATGTATTTCTGCACGTCATTTGAAAACGTCAGAAAATTAAACTTCTGATGATGCAGACAAGATTTCTGAAAAAATGTCCAACTTTATAAACTAACTTCTGGGAAGTATGCTTTGAATTTCACGTTGACCCAGGATTAAGATAACTGCGGCTCTTGAACAACCAACCTATGCTGTATAACTGGGTAGGAGTCAGATCCTAAAGCCTGGTTTACACTATCAAAGTTTCTGTGATCACATTAGGAATTTTGCATCTGTAAATTTTAGAAAATATGAAAAAGACATGGAAAATATTAAACAGTATTATAAATAAGAAAACTACTAAATCCAGGCTGAACACTACCTTCAACCTGGATGGTAGAGAAACATCCGATCCATTAGAGATTGCTGATAATTTTTGTGATTATTTCAGCAATCTAGGTCCCTCGCTAGCCAGGAAAATTCCAGCATCTTCAGCTTCTGCTCGGTCATTTCTTTCTGGCGAATTTTTAAATAGTATTTTTCTTGAACCAGTTTTAGAAAATTAAATAAAACATATCGCTGAAGCTTTTCCATCTGGAAAGGCCATTGGTTATGACAACATTTCAATGTCTGCTATCAAATTATCTATTGACTTAATTTCAAGACCCTTAACACACATTGTAAATTTGTCTTTAGCTAATGGTTTCGTTCCGGATGAAATGAAAATAGCGAGACTTATTCCTTTATACAAGGTCAAGGCAGAGAATAAACTATTTGTTAATAATTATAGACCTATTTCCATATTACCTGCTTTCTCAAAAATTTTGGAAAAAGTATTTTATAAACGATTATCTAGCTATTTGAATACACACAATATTTTATGTGTAAATCAATACGGTTTTAGAAAGGGTCACTCAACTTCATTAGCCCTTGTTGATTTATATGATAGAATCTCAGAAGCAATCGACAAAAAGGAATATGCTGTTGGAATTTTCCTGGACCTATCCAAAGCTTTTGACACGGTGGACCATGATATTCTTTTTGAGAAATTGGAATATTATGGTGTACGTGGCATAGCATTGGGCTGGATAAAAAGTTACTTTTCTGATAACTCATGTTCTGCCTTTAAATCTATAACCTGCGGAGTTCCACAGGGATCCATTTTAGGGCCACTGATGTTTTTTATATATATCAACGACATATGTAATGTTTCTGATGTTGCAAAACTAATTCTTTTTGCTGACGATACGAACTTGTTCTTTTCGCATATAAACCCAATGCACTTGGTTAATGTGACAAACGGAGAGCTACAAAAATTTTCGATTTGGCTCAGAGCGAACAAATTGTCTTTAAATATTGACAAAAAAATCAACAAACAAACTTTAAAATGGTACTTAATAACAGAGAACTCATTCAAACAAATGAAATTGTTTTCTTAGGTGTCATTCTAGATGAGCATCTCACTTGGAAATCTCACATTAATCATGTGTCAAATAAGATTTCCAAATCGATAGGAATAATACGCAAATCTAGCTTTTTTCTGTTAAAACAATCACTGTTAACTCTTTACTACTCGATGGTGTATCCCTATTTGCAATATTGCAATATAGTGTGGGCATCTACGTATGCATCCAATTTAACTCGTTTGGTAATTCTTCAAAAACGTATTGTCAGAATTTTAAACAACAGTAGTTTCGATTCTCATACCAATTTGATCTTTAAAAATCTAAGATTACTAAAATTTCACGACCTCCGTAAATTACAAACTGGCCAATTTATGTTCTTGTACATGAACATAAATTTTGAAAACCCATTTCTTTTAAAACGGCAAGTACATAATTATAATACTAGGAGAGCTAATGAATTTTATATTGCAACTCCAAGAACAAATCTACGGCAATTTTCAATTAAATATCAAGGTCCACTTCTTTATAACAATCTAAATAATAATATAACAAATAGTGTATCATATTCGTCATTTACCAAAAAAATGAAAAAGCATCTCTGCTCGTCTTATATTATAGTTAATTAATACCCAATAAATAATAACCAATTTTTGTTCATATAATTATCATTGAGATAAATTTAATATAAGAGGAGGTTTGTTACACATAATAAGCCAAGTGGTTTCTCATCAAACCTCCTCGTCACATAAATACCTACTCTTGTAAACTGTTATTGTTACTCTTTTGTAAATTAATACTTTTTTGACCTTTGTAACTAATTATCTGTGATTTTGTGTGACAAATCTAATAAATTCAAAAATTCAAGTTTTGAAGGATTTGTTAGAAATGTTTAACTTAAGTCAGTTTGCTCCAACATTTCTTACCAATCCTTCGAAACTTAGCATTTACCTATGCAAAATTCCTACTGTGATCACAGAAACTTTGATAGTGTAAACCATACCTAACACTTGCAACCAGGCACCATGTTCTCGCACCTGTTCACGTCCAATCAGGAATTAAGATTATGTGTGTTATCTTATTGTAAATCACTACTGACATATAATGAATTGACAGCAGATGAATAATCATCAACTTGATCTGCAGACTCGTACAGAGGATTGCAATTTTCATCTTCCGTTCCTCCAGGGACAGGATTTTCTGCCACGTGTTGCTTTATTCGACGTCGTGGTACTAAGTCACTATCAATACTAGACGTAAAAGACAGGATTTTCAAAATTGAGTAAATGTGACTCAGCTCTCCTCCACAGAGGCCACAGATTTAGTTTATATTTATTAGCGAGCTTAAGCAAGCGATGTTTTTGTCAACACGGACGTCAGATTGCCGAGGAGTGACTGGATTAAAAACGTTTTTGTATCAGTTTGTGGTGATCTTCAACACATTTGCCAAAATGCACGATTTTTAACGGGGTTTTTTTTCTTCCTAACACGAGCGCTATGATGTAACATGCCACCAAAATTAGTTATGCTCACTATTATCACTTTTACACGTGGGATGTACCCCCTAAAATGCATTCATCCAGAGTTTATTCCTCGCGCGCATTCATTAATTACCCGCATGCCTTGTATTTTGCGGGTGTATAACCCGCGTGTTAAATAAAAGTGCAGGGAGTGAGCTCAGACGCATCCTCATTTCCAGGGCCTCACGGCCGCGCGCGACCTAAATAGACCCTGGGATACACGGAACCGGAAGTGCAAGAAAACTTACAGTAGTTTCCAAAGCGCATACTCTTGAATTGGGAAGCTTCAGCTCCCGTAACAATTTTCACAGAGCAGTATTACGAAGAAACGAAGTATTTGTGTTGACATATTTTGATAGAAAAATTTTTCGTAGCGAAAACTGCTCAACTTCTGCGAAATAGCAGTTCTTTGAGAAACCAATCATATCTCTCCGTCGTCTAACCCAGAGCCTAATTTTCCGAGTGAAAATGGCTCTGGGGACGAGAATGGCTCAGACGGTGATAGTCTATTAGAGAAAATGTATTCTATGAAACAAAATATGGGGTCATTAAAGTTTTGCGAGTTCCAAAAGGTTCTATACCTTTCGTAGAATGTTACATTACAGTTTCCATTTTCGTTGTCAGTGCCTGGTTCTCTAGAAACAAAAACAAGAACAAAAATATTAAAATATATATTGATGGTCATTGTCATTACTCGAGTTTGGAAAATTAATACATTTACGTCAAGATCATTTGTGTACTTGCAGCATGACTGTTATGTGCGAAACTTCAGTTGATAGATGGGAGGAAATTACAATACTTTACACAATTATACTAAAATGATATAATACTTTACTTACTTTTCATAAATTGGATTTGGTTGTGCAAAATCGTCATTTTGAAACGCCACCGCAATGTTAGTCTCTTTCTTTCTACAAAACAGAACTTATTATTGTAGCGTTGATTGGACACGAGTCAGGCGAAAATCTGAGTGTATATTGTGATTTACTGGGTTATTGTAATGTTAGAGACGGTTACAGATGAGCAAGTTTTCTATAACAAATTCTCATATGGCAAGTTTTATTTGTCCATTGCACGTGTGTCTTTGTTACACAACAAAGTTTCCATGAAAAGTTTATGGTTATCGGACCACCACGATGGCTAGTATTAGCTAGTGTAACAATAGACTTCTGACCAACCGCAATCAAATTATTTACCTTTACGAACAAAATTTGTACTTTGTCATTTTATCCATGAAAAGTCCACTTGTTCAAAAGCTAGCATACTAGCTTTTGAACAAATGTACTTGCCACAGTAAAATTTGCCAAAGTTTCCTATAGAGACGAACAAATAAAGTTGTCATAGAAAACTTGCTCGTCTGTAACCAGCTTTATTATACAGCACTGCATATTATGCTAAAATATTCTCTCTAGTACGTTTATGAAAATTTCAATCGTATCATAACATATCGTAGGGTTTTCTTTGTGTCGAAGTCATCATTTTCCAATCTAGTGCTCAGGAAACAAAGAAATGGGAAACGGCCTTAATGGTAACCCTAATTCGTGGAAACACCATGTATATTTATTATTGCAATAGAAAAATGTAGCTTGCATGATAATTAATGCAAATTGACCATTTCAGTTCACGTTCATAACAATTTCGTCTTTAGCTAGTATACACGTAAAATGCAGATTGTTGCAGATCTGCAAACAAGTTGTAACAAGGTTGTTGTTCCCACTGCTTGTTCCCAGTGGTTGTGACAAGTCTGGAAAGAGGTTTTGTCGCCTTGTTGCAATGTTGATGCAACAAGAGTGATACAGGCTTGTTCGTAACAAATTGCCGAGTTTTCTGCGAACTTGTTGTCATCAACTTGATAACAACTTCTTAGGTGCAGAAATATGTTGCGAGTCTGTTCGCGTCATCAACCCAATTTCGTCCCCAGGGCATTTTGCCTCCACGGCTGAAGGTCGGCGAAAATGGCCGACCTCTATCCGTACAGGCAAAATGCCCTGGGGGACGAGTCTGTCAAGTCTGGAACAAGTTGTTATCATCTTGTAACAAGGTTGATGACAACTTGTTCCAGACTTGACAACAACTGTGCAACAAGCAGTCCGAACACACCTTGACAAGCTGTGAGATTTTTACGTGTGCAGCGAACAAAGAGTTTGTTATGACACGTGACTGAAATGCTCAATTTGCATCTAATTTTATAAAATAACATGTATATAACGCGTATTCTGATTGGTCGAAAGCCGTGTTTGGATCAGGCCATCCAAACACGGAAGACTACCGTGTTGTTGTTATTTTATAAAACAATTACTTTATGGTTTCCGTGTTTGGATGGACTGATCCAAACACTTGGGAATGTTGCTCGAGTTAAGAAAAGCGCGCAAAATCACTCGCCTTCTGCTCGTGATTTCGCTCGCTTTTCTTAACTCTTGCAACATTCCCGCGTGTTTGGATCAGGCCATCCAAACACGGAAACCATAAAGTAATTGTATAATCATGCACGCTAAATTTGTCTATGCTTTCAATCCGTCGGCTGGGATCTTCATGATGATAATGAAGATCCGGGTTCACGGATCGAAAGCTTGGCAATAATAGATATACATGGTGTTTCCACAAAGCAAAACTTATATTATTACCATGGAAAACTACAAATAAATTTTTTAATCACTAATTATACAAGGGATCTGCTGCTATCTTCTATTAAGAATTTCTTTCAGAGAACAATAAAAATACTTTATTATTCATTGTAATATTTTCTCGTATTCTTATTGGTTGAAAGCCTACAGATAATTTTCCGTATCTCGGTGCAGACATGAACATGACAAATAAATCTCGTATCTGCATGTGAACATGACAAATAAATATCGTATCTGTAGGTGCCTTGGTGGTATTTTGCATGAATTGGAAAAGAGCGGGAAATTTTGTGAAATTATTTTGTTTTGACAATGGCTTCTGCTGCTTCTGCTCGTTTTGGTTTCAACTTGATTGTTTTTTTTACAGAATGAATAATAAAAGAATTATTGAATTCGGTTTACGCAAGATATCAGAAATATTCAGACCTCGGTCAGCGTTAAGGCGTGCAATTTTTCATGCAACTTGTCTCGCAATGGCGTTGCGAGACAAGTTGCACGAGTCATTGCACCGTTTAACATGCCTTGCAATGGTCAAAATCTTTGCGAGACAAGTTGCATGAAGCATTGCACAGAGTAGAAGTCGGTTCTACTTTTGGCAACGATTGCACTAATTATTTTTAGCTAGCATTTCAGCGTGTAACATGGCTTCGTGCAACTTGTCTCGCAATGTTTATAGCTTGGAGAGTTCCTATTGGCTCTCCCCAGTACATGCTTTACAAATAGCGCCTCTCCCTAGTCTCTTCGCATGGTCCCCTATCGTTGCGAGTTGCATGAAAATCAATGCCGCTGCAATGCATTATCAAAATCTTTTTTTAAACATTGCGAGACAAGTTGCATGAAAAATTGCACCGTGTAACAGGGTCTTTATCTGCCTCAGCTTTGCTTCGGGAGTAACGCTGACCTTGGTCTGAATAATTCTGATATCCTGCTGAGCCTCATCCAATAATTCTTAATTGTTTCACCTTTTCCTCGTAACAAGCCAGGCAATCAACACCACGATGCCAATCACAACCACCACAACGGGCACAACAATTGATGTTGTTGGTACTTGAGATTTTTCATTCTTTGTTTTTGCTGCCGTGCCTGTTTGAACTTTTTCTGTAGATGCGGGATTTTCAGAGTTGGTTTCGTATGTAGTGTGAGAGTTTGTTGGCAGGGTATGCGTTGTTTCTGTAATCCTTACCGTTGTGAGAGCACCGGTCTTTGGCGTCCACGTTGAACTTTCTGCTAAGTAAAGAAACATAGCTTTCAGTGACGGGCACATGTAAAATCTTGTGCGACCAATATTTCTCAGTTGATGGAAATTTCATTTCTGTGCGTGTTTCTAAACTCAATGTTAGGATAGATGAGTTACACAGGATGACCTATTAATAATGGGGTCTGGGCCCTTAAGTGGAAGCTAGGCTATAGCATTTCAGAACAATTTCAGAATAAATGCAATCACGCAGATATATATAGTTCGTCATGTGAACAAATTATCTGCTGGTTTACCTATATACGAGGTATAACACAAAGGATCTGTTTGTTCTTTTCCTTGCCCTGCAAGTTCGGCCAGTCGACTGAATATCGGTCTCTCAAGGCGTGCTTCCATTTACATTGTGAGACCAGCCAGAATAGGATTTTGTCATTTATTTGGTAGATCAAAATTAACCTATCCCTGATTTGATCCAGACCAGTCTCAAGCCCAGTGCTGTAGAAGTGGGGGTCGCTTGGGGGCGGAGCCCCTCTTCTTCAAGCTCTGGCGGGGTGAGCCCCCCTTCTATTTAGAAAATCGAGAACTTATTATGTCACAGAGGAGATTCAGTCATCTGGCGATACTAAATAGCGAATGTACTCATGTCCAAGAACGACAAGAGAAAACGTAACTTTGGTTCATTTACGGACCAGGATCTCTGTTACAATCTTAACAAAAATATTTAGTTTTGACTTAAAAAACTCCAGCAGAATTAGTCAGACATTTGAATGATAGACTATCATAGACTTTTAAAATACGTTAAGTTATTCCTTGCACATAATTATGTAGATTAGTTCAGTCTTCATTAGTACGCTGGACAGGTGTTTGTGTCCATTTAAAACAGACCATTTATTATTTTCTTGTTATGTATTAGTGGGCTCGCACTTTCCAGAAAAAAACATTTCTAAGAAAGGTAAGGACGATAAGTATGGAAAATGCAATTTAAATTACGCTTAAATAAGGCATTAAATTTCGAAGAAAAAAATCTATTCAAGGAAAATGTACTAAGCGAATAAATTTTACCCGTATATAATGGCTTGCTTAAGAGTCGTTCAAGAAACTTTTTAAGAGAAACTAGCAGGTTTTATTGCATTCCCGGGGCTCTGAAACGTCTCAGATTTCAAAATTTCCCGGAACCCCTCCCCCAGAAGGCTCACGCCTTCGGCGTTTCCTAACCCCCGCCGCGGTCCCTGGTCATTGTATGACGTCACGGTTTATTTACGATTTCACAGCTTCACGCTCGTCAAGAGAGCCCCCCTCTGGTAAATTTAGTTTTACAGCATTGCTCAAGCCCCATAAGTCAGTAATTCATTAAGCTTAAGTCTTAAAATTTCATGGATTGACCGGTCTGGTCGCGTTAATCAAGAATACTGTCTTGGTTAACGCGAAATTGCGAAACTATTCAGCTGTAGATACGCTATAAGATACGGCGATGCATGAGAAATAGACACGAAAGTCGCTAAAACGCTTTCAAGCTGTAAATTACCTCTATTTAAGACGCCTTTAACATTGAGACGAAATCCTGTGGTTTTTGTGACGTTATTGGCAAGCTTGAGGACTATCGACACCAAGTTAGACTGAGAACGAAGTTTATATTGCTGATAATTGCCACATAACTTGATAATTGATACATTTCCTTCTATACCAGATATTTCCAGGAACTGAGTACTGCAGTGATCAGCCGTGTTAGATGGTATATCCAGTGATATGATATTGAGTGAAATAGTGTAGTCAGGTGGATAGTTAATCCTCCAGGAACAGGATTGACTGGTTATGTCAAGATATTGCAATTTTGGAAAGTTTATTTCAACTTCTGTTTCATTATCGTAAGTTAATGTGTGGTTGCAACCTGAAATGCAGAATTATAAACAACGACATTAACATGTAGCGCTTGTTGCCCTCAGCACTTTACCTCTCCAAATACTAGACAGTCCAAATGAAATCGAATACTTCCAATCACTTGCTGAAAAATTGAATGTCCAAACCATTCAGTCGCATGTAAGAAACGTTCTCCCACAAATTGACACTACAAATACTTGATGTGGATCCCTCAGTCTCCTCATATGTCCGTTGTAACGTTAACAGTGGCGTAGCCAGAACGATAATTGGGGGGGGGGCATATATTCATATATGCGTGTTCTGCTTTATTAATTTCTTTTGAAATCAATTGTTTTTATGGTATGTGAACATGAATATATGAATATGCCCCCCCCCCCCTAATTATCGTTCTGGCTACGCCACTGATAACGTACGGGACTTCTAGGCAGAGCAGTTTAAAACTGATAGTCCGATACGATATAAATAAAGTTAGACGTTTAGTTTCATTTAAATTAAGGAGTAATAGTTCAATAATTTAGTTTTGGAAAATAAAATAGAGTTCACTAATGCAAACAAACCTTCATAATAACAGTAATGTATCTTTGGATCATGTTTTGTGGCGTTGAATGGCGAGAAAAGTGTGAATTCATCTTTATTTCTGTAATCTGATGTATCATAAAGAACGAATTCTGGACTAACTGCTGCCCACTCCACTTTCTGACAAACTGAAGATTTAAAAGCCAGCAGGTAGAATGGTTGATCAATTGGTAATGACATTGGGATGTTAGGATCCTGGCTTCCTTGGCAACAGAAATATATTCTAGTTCTTCCTCCACGAACAGAATTACCACCAGGTAACACTCCCTTCATCTCACTGTCATTCAACCAGTATTGGTTATCCCAGTATCCATATCCGAAGAACAATCTTCCTTCACTCTTTGGACATTTAAAAGGGGAGATTGCAGCAGAATAGATGCAGTAAGTCCCTGAAAGTTGAAACGGATAAAATAAATGCATAATTAATACTACTATAGTTTCGCTTACCTTAATTAAAGTCTTAACCATATGGGATCGCCACGTACTGAAAAATTCGATTATACACGTGCTAAATAGCCGTCAATGGTCAAAACATGGACGTGTGACTTTGTCGAACCCTAGATTTCTACCCTAATTTACACCATGAAATTTCAATGAAATGAGTAATTTCCCTCAAATACTTCTTACAAATAATTTCAAACTTAGAATTTACCTATGCGAAATTTCTACCGTGATCACAGAAACTTTGATCGGTGTAATCCATTGAGGTGTAAACCAACCTTTACAGTTAGCAATTAAGGAGTATAGCTCGAAAACTATGACATACGCGGAGTCGCGCTAAATTGAATCAAAAGTTATTTTCACAACCGTAAACAATTTGTTCAGTACAACAACATTACTTCTAGTCAGTTAATTACCCAATGTGGTGTGCCCCAAGGTTCAATTTTAGGACCTCTCCTTTTTATTTTATATACAAATGACCTTCCGAATGCCTCCCGTATAGTTGAACCTTTGCTATTTGCGGATGATACCAGCATCTGTTACTCTCACTCTGACCCTGTGGTACTAGCTGCAGTGTTAAACGAAGCATTACAAAGCATCGGTTCTTGGATGAGAGCAAATAAACTCTCTGTTAATATTGAAAAACAGACTATGTTATTTTCCACTCCAGGCATAAGAAAGTCTCTTATGATATATCTCTCTCTTTCGATGACAAATGTATTACTCGTAAACCAAAGGTTAAGTTTCTGGGGGGTTTTCTGGATGAGAATCTCACCTGGAAACCTCACATTAGTCATGTCTGTAAAAAGATTTCTAAGTCTATCGGCATTATTTATCGAGCTCCTTTCTTACTTGTTAGCTAGTACTAAATTGTCATTAATATTGTACTACACGTTAATCTACCCATACCTTACCTATTGTAACACTACTTGGTCCTCCACCTATGTTTCCAATTTAAGTCGCGTATTTCTATTACAGAAACGAATTGTCAGAGTACTGACCAATTCTAATTACCGGGCGCATACTGCTCCACTATTTAGTAAATTAAAAATACTCAATATATATAAGCTTAATTCCTTCCATATTGGTAAATTCATGTTTTCTTACCACAATCAGCTATTACCACCCTCTTTTCTCAATCTGTTTATTACCAACAATGAAATCCATGATTACAACACCAGAAATGCGAGTTCATACCGAGCTCATGCATGTAGAACAAATGTAAAGCAGTTCACCTTCCTATTTCAAGGACCCTAATTGTGGAATTCTCTCCCAGAGTCCGTCAAAAGTGCACAGACGATAAATTGCTTCAGGAATAGAATTTTGAAATACTTGCTAGATGCCTAATTACGTTTTTCTTGACCTCACCTAATCATTTTTCTGATCTATATTTTCTGTCACTACTGCTCCAAGGAGACATCCTATATTTACAAGCCCTATGGTTTCCGGATGCCTCCTTGCCACCGATATCTACTATATGGTGTATACATATTGACATTTTAAATTAACTATATTATTATCATAAAATAACTTGTATATAACTGATATCTGTGGCAAATAAATTATCTCGATCTCTTTCTCTATCTCTATAATTGAAATTATTGGGGAAAAGCACAAATGTTGTCGATGTAGGCTTGCACGCATGCAATGTTATTTTATATTTAACGTAAATTTTCTCATTGTTCCTGGCATCTCAACACTTTTCCCACCTCCATGTATTCGCAATCTATTCTCACATAAACCCGACTACATGCGACTAATGCAATCAAGAATCTAACGATTGTGAATGCAGGTGTATAGACAGGTGAAGTTATTCAAGATGATATATACATATACAGTAAAGCTGAAACGTTGTAACCCAACTGCTCTACCAACGGGTACGAGGTTATGCAAGTTGGTTTGAGCAGGTAGTATTTCGGAACTCAGTCTAGTCCCTTCGATATCTGTATTATGTCTTGTGAACAGACTATAGTTGCACGAAACGCATCAATTGTCAATTGAACTGTATTAGGACATCCATGTTTAATTGTTTTAATTTGAAGGTTTTCGTGAAACAAATACAATCAAAGATAAAAAAATTGATAAAGGAATACTAAAATAACTGCAGCAAACCTTTTGGCCATACTGGTCTTATCATTTCTTCATTGTGTGTGGCGTCATTTTTAGTACAGAACCATCTCTTGATATTGCCCCAGTCATCAATCTTGGCCGCCATGTTGAAAGATCTTGAAGTTTTAGTCAAGATCACATCTGTGTCATCTAGATCTTGAAATATCCAGCCTTGTTTCCATGTGAAGTTTGTAGAACCAGGACAACCACTTGCTGCTTTTGGCAAAGTATAAAAACCCTGAGGCCATAACTGCTCTGAATTAGAGAAAAAAAATACTTGATCATTTGGAGTATGCATGTTAATTAGTTGAAGCAACCTCGTATCATATCAGACATGTTTTTGCTCGCTTAAGTAAATAATTTATTAAGTAAATTAGTGTAAGCCTTGAACAAACTACTCAAAACGACCTACACAAACTACATAATGTAAAACGACCCTACATTTCGACATTCCAGGCTGAATGCTGAATTGCAACAGATGCATCCAACGTGGTCATGTCAAACAGTCAAAGGGTTAACAGGGAGGAAAACAATTTTTTCCCCAAGACTTTTACTGGAGAAAAGCAGAAAACTAGGAGAAAATACCTTCAGGATAACCGCAGTACTTGGATAAAAATCTTGAGAGAATCTGAGCCAACTTTATACATTAAGAAACGGTTCCAACCACATCAAATCTGTACACTAAGCATTTTAAGTAATCCTATGTAATCCTACGCTTAACCCACAGCTTAACTTAGCGGCAAAAAGTAACGCTGTCCCCATCTTCCACCTGTGCATGCTTTCTTGCCGTGTGCGAGTGGTAACAAGGGATGTAGTTATCCAAAAATATGTCATAAGTAAGTGGCAATGAGAAAAAAAAGAAGTATATTAGATGATTATGTAGCACCATATTTCTACAGATGTAGAATTTACCTGAATGTCTTTCTCTGGGTGGTGGTGTTGGTTGAACAAATGGCGGGGTGGTAGAAGTTGGTGGAGCTGGCCAATCACAGACACTGTTATCTGTATCAAGGAGTACCCACAATGCTTCACGACCTGTCACTATTTTCGTGACTTGGATCTCATCAGCCTGAATATTCCAAGATAGATACCAGTCTCCAGTTTTTAGAGTTCTGCCTTTACAAGTCCAGGTTATTGAAAAGTTTGAACTGCAGTCACCCATTGTTAAGGAATTATTGTTGTTTTGTTGTATACATTTGTTTTGGTAACCGCTGTAAGCCCCTTTAAGCTTACCATCTGTAGTCCAATTAAAAAATACGCTCAGTCCATATGTACACTTATCAAGTTCAAGACGGTCATTCGATGCAATTGACAAACACTTCTTGGCGTATGCGTTGTATATTTCAAATGAGTCACCTCCTGAAAGGCATACTGTATGTTATATTTTCAACAGAATTGCATGGGGGTATCGAGAAGGTTATGAAATTGCCTAACTAAAACAGAATAGCGTAAGTCTCAGAAGGCCTGCGCTTTAGGATCCCGCCCAGAGTACAGGCCTCTCAGAAGTGCTATCGAAATCATAGAAATTCTAATTTTGTAAACATATCGCGTTGACAGTTGTGATTTGTTTTAAAATCTTCGAATAAGGAAGCATAGGTCAGCATAGTTTTATGATATAAATTACGTGAAAATTGTTTTCATTGTAACATCATACGGCCAGGCTTGAGTCAATTCTAACCGCTTCTATATAAACATGGAAACATTTTTTTCCAGAAATTTTGTCTGGATCAATATGATGTTTATTTTCTAAAATGTTGAAATAAAAGAAATAAAAGGACACACATTCATGCAGAAAACACAAAATAAAAAAGCAGGTTAAATTTTGGCCCAAAATTAAACTCCCCTTATTTATATTCGTACTTAATTGGGCGCGTACTTAATTTCGCGATTTTTCAAGGCAATATTTTGCGAGACATTATTTTAGCGATTTTGACAGGCGAAAATAGAAAAAGTGCATTAAATTTCGCTTTCTGAACAACATTTTATTTTCAACATTCGAGGTTGTGTTTCCCGTGGCTTGCCATTGAAATCTCAAGAAAAATAAACACTGCGGAGTGCAGACGAGACAAGACGAGACAAGTTATTCGCGTTTCAGCGTTTCAGCCAAAATATTGATTTTTTCGTTTCAGCCAAAATATTTTATTCGACAGCTATTTATATTTTCATGATTCTAGAGTATAATAAATTATGAAGAGACAACAATCAAGCCTTGCAAGAACATAAAATGAAACAAAAACTTAAATGAACTGTTTGTAAATAAAATGAGGTCTCCTTTGTGCACATGCGCAGATCGGACTGTACCGCATTTTTCAGTCATAGTCGACTAAATTTGTCCTGTGTATTTTATATTTCACATGTAGAAGTTTTCATTAGCCCTGCCAACTCAGTTGACTGTTGTACTTTTAAGTACAGTACTATTTTACATGTGACTGACCTAAGTCGTAATAGAGGACATCTCATCATCTAATACCATGCATGCTGCTCATGCAAAATGCGCAAACCTTGCTGACATAAGCATCGTCATAACTCAGCCTAATGTCTGCCTACAGTATAGCATAATTATGATATAAAATAAATGAATATTCACGTTCTCACCTTGTGCAGAAATGCCCGAGATACCCAGCAACAACACCAATACTTGCACGGCCAACAGCTGCAGTGACATGATTGCAGGCAACAACATTTCTACAGCTTAAAGGTTAATAGTCCACTGTCGTTCAAGGTCAGATTGATCCAGTTGCAAAAAAATTAATTAAAGCGTAATTTAATCCACCATAATCTGCATGCGTGTGTGGACACATTGCTCAGATTAGAATCTCGTTTAATTAAAATTATTAAAATTGATTATACATTATGTTGAACTTCTTGACCTCCGGAATGATTTGCATTTGTCTAACAAATTATCAGCGTAGTTGTGCAATAATGGCAAACGTTTTTAAATTCAAAAATCAACACAAAACTAATTAACAAAAAATTGTATGAGTATAGTTACATTGATTCAACCTCGTTTAAATAAAATTTTACGAACAGAGAGCGTCCGACCATCCAATATTCGTTCAGTTAATTATCCAAAGTACGTAGCTATTAATTATCCAAGATTAAACCATAAGCTGTATCAAGCCAAAAGAGTCATAAATAAAGTAAATGAAACAGTTTAATTATTGTATTGGTCAGCTAGAGCACTTTATTTCAATCATTTCGCTCCCTGGCAAGTGCTATATGCTGTAAATTAAACTTTAGCATTCAACATTATGTAATTAATAAATTACAAAGATTATTAATTTTTTTAAATTATCCAAATTCTGTAGTGAAATCATTGGAAGAAATTTATCATTATTCATTATTTTCTGTGATTTTACACATTTGTTCAATAACAGCAAGAAACAGGGAAATTAAAAATCACTTTGGCGATCCTGCAACTATATGATCCTGCAACTATATGAGTCCTTTATAATTAATAGGATTTATTTTGCATGAGGACAGTACTTCACTCTAGAGACCTGTAGACAACTCTATAAATACTGGAACGATTGTTCCAGGTAGAAGGTCATATGATTGGGTGAAGCCAAGATGGCAACCTATAGAGAGTGATCTCTTGTTTGTATAAAACTCGCGTGTATTTTGCGTGGGCTTCGCGGGAGCTTGAAAAATGATTTGAAGGTTTTCCGATCGATGTTTTCAATTTTTCCACATAAATGCTCATTTTTAGTGCTAAATACCCTACCTAAAAGCTACAAACTATAGCTAAATGAAAAGGTAAGATTGGTGCAACTGATTATAATCCATATCATTCTGCATGTTCAGTTCAAATCCATTGTGTTCAGTTCAAATCAACTTGTTTTCACTCGCCAAATAACTTTGCTTTTTATGATGAAGCGTTTCTCAAATTTGCTTTCTGAAAGACCTCTTGCTCCGGATTTAACAAGTCGTCGGCTGAAAAATTATGAAATCTGTTGCACTGAATTCCGCGGAATTTCCGCGTAGGGACCTACAGTATCTACAAGACGGGCTCCTTCAATTCCAGCCATCTTTGGCTTCAAAAACAAAGCCGGAGTTATTGTTCCAGTTTTGATAGACATAACTGCTCTCGATCCCCAAAATTCTAGTTGTGATTGTTCCTATAGGCAAAGATCCTCCATTGACGCCCATCCTTATAGGACTTACATGACGATCTACTGAGGGACATCTACAATCTACAATATGTTACGTACAATATCTAACCGGCCGGGCTAAACTGTTTAGATTATTTTAAATTGGATTTCATTTCCTGGATCAGGCGGTTTCAAGTGCAGTCTCCAATTAGTAGTAAAATACCCCACTCTGGCGGCGGAAGTAATTAGTATGCAAGCTTAGGTGTCGGAAGTAATTAGTATGCCAAATCTATGACATCACTTTGCTGGCCCTAACCCTAACCTTGGGCCAACTGTGATAGGTAGCGCGACCAATTAACCCAGGCAAGCCTGGGCCAACTGTGACAGGTAGCGTTAAACTTGAAATCGACGGAAATGTGAAAGAAATTGAAATCGAATATCAATGGATACGAGCTATCTAATTATAAATATCCTCTTAATTGCAACATTTCTTTATTACAATGACTCTATTGAACTTCGATACTCAGATTATGAAGATTCATTTCAATTTCTTTTACATTTCCGTCGATTTCAAGTTTTGAAAAAGGTCAAACAACTAGTTTGGTTAAAAAACCATACTTCGTCGCATTATCTGGCAGAGCCTCCCCAACTTCATTTCAATCTTCCCATCACACCGCGTGCGCTCAGGTCGGAGTTTCTTCATCACATGCTTCGGCATTAAATATTTTCTTTTCATAACGTTTTCTACACAGAGACACAGGCAGTGTACTTGTTCGGCGATTGCTGTTTCCAGTAGTGCTTGTTGTTGATCAGGCTCGGACGTGCCCAACAATTGAAGAAATGGCTTGTGCCTTAGAAGATTGATCATTTCTGTTCGACGGTTTGGAAGCAAATGAGTAAAACACAACAATAAGGAAGCTTATATCGGAACAGAGAAAGCAATTTAGACAAGGCTCTAAGCCTAAGGAGCTCGGAGCTGGCTCCGAGCCTAAGGAGGTCCGAGCCTAAGGAGCCAACTCCGAGCCTAAGGAGCTCGGCTCCGAGCCTAAGGAGCTGACTCCGAGCCTAAGGAGCTGGCTCCAAGCCTAAGGAGCTTGGCTCCGAGCCTAAATCGGCTTCGAGCCTAAGGAGCTGACGTCAGAGACTATCATATCAACTAAGGGACCGGTCATTATTTATCGTGGGGGGTGGCACCGAAGAGAAATGTTTTTCCTGGTAAAAATTTTGCTGACCCAACCATTAAAAAGCAAAAAATTTGATTACCCAACCTCAAATATCAATTAAAAAATAAATACCCACCCCTGGCCAAAAAATTTACAAAAGATACCATTCTGTTGTCACATATGTCCTTTACCACTTCTGTGACATAAGTTTGATAACGGATTGTGAAATTTTCTGCAGTGTGAAGTTTCATGTTGTCTGCACATGTTGCTACTTTCTTTGGAGATCCCATCGGAAATTGATCAAGATAATGACTCTGATTGATATATACTTTTCGTTGTTTCTTTACACATTTAGTAAATCTTAGTATAACACCAAGTTCATCAATTGCTGCTATTTTGCTAGCAAATCCATGTATAATAAACCCGGGTGTTTTGCAATCAAAAGTGATGCAACCTGGATAGTGGAATAAGTTGACTACTGTAGGCACAATTTTTGGCCACTTAATAATCAAAGGTCATGCATAAATAAGAACAGTCTTTAATATTACCGCCTTACGGAGACTTTATATTAATTGTGCTACTCTAGGATCTAGAAGACCCATAGGTCCCATACTCGACTACCAACATGATGAAGTTAGTTATGTTAATTCATATATAGGATCAATGTTAAAGGCAAGGTGGGCTATACGCTATAATCATTTGTATGGCTTATAGAAGGCTAATTGCTGCGAATAAATTGAATAATGAATGTAGCACAATATTAAATAGTTGCATGATGACGTCAATTCGTCAAAGAAACTAGTCAGACTACATTTACTCTACTCTCATCGCTTAAATTCCCCATACCTGAATACAAAATCAACAGTAAACAGTAAACAACGATTACCTTTTACATACCATATATAAAATGGAGTTTTCATCCTTTCTAGAAACTCACTTCCTGAACT